AAACTTAATGAGTGTAAAAAAAAATAATAATAACAACGACATTAACAACAATAATAATAATAATTCCATACCATTGAGAAGAATATTGGAGAAGCAAATTCTATTTCTGACTATATTTTAAATAGCAGAACTTTTCAACAAATTTCTTACAAAAATATTTTCGTTTATTTTAGACGAAAATAATTTTATATGAAAATATTTTAAATTCTTCTTTTCCATGGTGTAAAGTTTATAAAAACTGAATTCACTTTTTGCAGTTTATTTTAATCACAAGTGTCAATCCGGAAATTTCCCCGAAGACACCAAAATACAAACACATATACGTACTTGTGTGTAAGTACTTTCTCTGTGTGTATGTAAATTATATATATATATATATATATATATATATATATATATATATATATATATATATATATATTAATTAGCTGGTATTGAAAAACTATGGCTTGATTATTATGTATGAGGAGCATGTGAGCGAGAGGTCAACAAATCTCCTTGTAACACCAAAGATGAACTGAAGGCAAGAATTATGGCAGCATTCACCAACTTAAAGAAGGAGACCGTCCAGAAGTGTTGCAGGAGATTCCGAAGTTATCTGGTGGCAGTGGTTGAAGCCAATGGGGATTTTATTGAATAAATTTACTTTTTAGTATTTCAAGCTATTTTTGTGTAATTTTGGTAAATATATGTGTTAAAATGAGATGTCAGTATTATTTTCATTGTTGCTCAATTTAGATAATTTATCCATCACGCCTTGTATATATATATATATATATATATATATATATATATATATATATGTGTGTGTGTGTGTGTGTGTGTGTGTGTGTGTCTCTGTGTGTGTGTCTCTGTGTGTGAACCTTATTTTTAGAGGATACTCGTATTTGAGCCTGCCCTTAATATTTTTAAACAGTATATTTATTTATTTTCCCCTACTGGACTGAATGTTCGAGAAATCATCTTAAAGACAAAATTGCGCCCTTCGGCAAAAATCGAAACTTCGCCTCTCACTGAAGAGGTAGCCACTGTTTATCACGGTGGACGTTTCCACTTGGCCATGAAAAAACAGGTGAAGTTAATTCCATCTTTTTCAAGTGAAATTTCCCCTGTCATTTTTTACGGATAGTTTCGTATCCAAACATAAGCAAAAATATCACACACACACACACACACACACACACACACACACACACACACACACACACATACATACATATATATATATATATATATATATATATATATACAAATGGTAACCATATGGATAATTCCAGGTGGAATATAAATCCCGAGAGCTCAATGTAGTAAACAGAGCAACTAATAATTAACAAATTGGAGACTTCAGAAAGCCATGGCAATATTTTATATTTCGCGAGACCGATAAAATTCAATTTCACTTTGTCAGTCTTTGTTTGGAACCGCAAGCTCTGACGAAATGAAATCGAATTTTGTCGATCTCGCTAAATATAAAATATTACCATTTCTTTCTTGAAGTTACTAATTTTTAATTTATATATATATATATATATATATATATATATATATATATATATATATATATATATATGTTTGAATAAAAAACAGACCACTATAAGGTTCCATGTAATAAATTATTTCACCACGGCCCCTTTAAAAAGGCTCAGGATCATCAACAAACATCAAATTAAATTCTTCGCAGATTTTTAGACATTTAGATTTATACTAAACTTTAACCTCCAAATATACCATTTAGATTAATGCGAAATAACAGAGTCTGAGAATTTGAATGAAACCTTCTCTCAAATGAGTCTAAATAATACGGAGGTAAATTTTAAACTGATAATTTAGTTTAAATTGAAATATATTACCCTTTAATAATCATTATTGATGATAAAATTATTTAAATCGGAATAACCTTTGATAATTATGTAGGTACCTAAAAACAGTCACGAGTTTAATTTATGAACAAAATTCAAACGAATAGATGTCAACATAATAATCAACAAGAAAAAAGTTTAGGAAAATAAAAAAGATTACTATGAATTTTTTCCAATCGACTATTTCATAGAAAATACCCAAAACACCAACAAACATCAAATTAAATTCTTCGTAGAGTTTGTAGACATTTAGATTTATATCGAACTTTAACCCCCAAATATACCCTTTAAAGTAATGCGAAATAACAGCGTCCAAGAAATTGAGTGAAACCTTCTCTCATCAGGATTGGTTTATCGTATCTTCTTCCTTTTATGTCGGCTTTCCTCTTCACCACTTACCCATCCATATCTAAAGATAACATAAGTCAAGTGAACCGTTTGTCTAGCCCACACCAAGTGGGGTTAGGGATAAAGAATGGAAATGGTACATCTAACTCACTCATGTCTTCTCTCTCCCCTCACTTCCTCACTTCGTTAATTTACATATGCTTAATACGGCCCGTCAGAAATGTGTAAATTTCTTTTCATTTTTCATTTCAACCTTTGGAATTAAAGTCTGATGATCCAGAGCCCTTTAAAAGGTCTGTGGTGAATTAATTTATTACATGGAACCTTAAAGTGGTCTGTTTTTTATTCAAACATATTTGCTCTGAATTTACATTGAGCTCTCCGGATATCATCCTCCTTGGGTCTACCCATACGGATTACATAATTTTGCATAAACTATATATATATATATATATATATATATGGTGCAAAAGTGTTCGTAAAGTTAAACTGTTGTAAACATATGATAATTGATAGTTTATAAATGGATGTATTGTACTATATTTTCTAAAGAGGACAAATTGGTTCTAATGGGGTCATTGCCATACTTAATTATAATTTTTTTTTTTAGCTGGTCATTTGGGAGGATAATGAAAAAGGCGAACGACCACTAAAATGGCCATATAAAGTTTTCGGCCACCTGATACTGTGTATTGAAACTGAAAAATGACTGTAAAGGACATTTATCCTGACTGCCGTAAACCATTAGTTTACTACCTTTGGTACCACATATACTGTAACCATAGAAACAGTGGTGTATCACGAGTAAGCCAGCTTGACGAAACCCACATCTTTTCAGAGTGGATTCAAATTCAGAGTTGTCCTTCTCCTAGACGAGTTGCCATCTCAATGCAAGAGAACCCAATCAGCGCAGCTATTTCGATTTATTTTCGATTTCAGCAGACATTAATTTCATTGTTTAAAGAAAACCTATAGATGTCAACTCCAACACGTGTTCCTACAAAACTCAATATGAAGAAATAACTTCGGATTGAAAAATCCATTAATTTTTTTCTCTCTCTTTCTCTCTCTCTCTCTCTCTCTCTCTCTCTCTCCCCTCACAAACGCATACACACGCGCGCATGCACACACCTTTAACTGCAGAATGTCCACATAAAAGAGTACTGTTATCTCGCTCGCTTTCACAGATCATAGTTACCTATAGATGTATAAATTCTAGTTTTCTAATGTACTATTCTGTATTGGTCTCAGGATGTCGAGTGAAAGAGCGGTATACTGTCAAGTAAGAGAGTAAGGATGAAGAATAAGAGAAAGAGCCAAGAATCGGCAGAGATGGCAGATTTTTTTTGAAGTGTGGTTGTTCGAGGCTCTAAAACAAGACCAAAAATGAGAAATGAAAACCAGGAATAGAAGAGAGAGAAAACGAAATAGGAGCGACGTCCGGATGTTAGATGGCGGGTCAGGGATTGTGATATATAAATAAAGCTTACTGGACAACGGAGAAAATGCGGGTTGTAGGATCGGGTCGGCGCTGGAGAAGACTGGTCGATCGGTGACCCGATGACGACAACTTGATCCTTGCCGCTGCTCTTCTGCTTGGATCACTGGCATCACGGCTCGTCAGCTTCCATCGGGACGGATCAGCGGAGACGACTGAACGCCCGGCTAACGCATTTGAACTCATTCGCAACCTGCCATTCTACACGACTTCATCTTTGCCTCTTTTTTTCTCTTAAGCTCTTTGCCTGCTTTTCTCTCACACACACATACACACACTCTCTCTCCCCTCTTTCTCCCTTCTCTCTCTCCCTACCTCTCCCTCTCTCTCTCTCTCTCTCTCTCTCTCTCTCTCTCTCTGACCAGAGAATAAGAATGAGTAAAAAGTAAAAAAGAGGAGATTGTGTTAAGAGACAAGGTAATGAAAGTACTGCTTCTTTGCAATGTCGGAAGTGATGTCAGTACCGAAGATGGCAGTCGAGAGTCCAACTCGTGAGAAGTTTAGGAAGCAAGTTAATGTTTATCTTTTTTTGCAGTATAATTATCATTTATTTTCTTTCTTTCGCCGTTTCTTTTTGCTGTTTTTCTTTCTATCATTCATTCTTTTTTTTCCTTTTCTTTCTTTATATACTTCTCTTTTCATCTCTCTTTCTTTTCTTTCTTTTACCATCCCTTTTTCTTTATTACTTTCTATTCTTTTACTTACTTTTCTCCTTTTCTTGCATTTTCATCTTTTACTTTTTTATTACATTTTCTTTCTTTTCTTGATTTTTTAGTCTTTTTCTTTTTATCTTTTCCTTTTTATTCATTTTTAAACTTTTTATCTTTTCCATTTATTTTCTTTTCCCCCTTTTAATTCCTACTTCAATCTCTTTTTCTTTAAAATTTTTTCCTTCTTTCTGTCTCTTTTCTCTTCTTTCTTTTATTTTTTCCTTATTTTCTTCATTTCCTTCTTTTTCGTCTTTTTTCTTTCTATCTTTTCTTTCCTTCTTTCTTACCCTTTTCATCGTTTTATTTCTGATTTCTCTTTTCCTTCCTTTCTTTGTTCTGTTTTATTTTCTTTTTCCTCTCTTTTTATTTGTTTCTTTTTTATTAATTAATCTCTTTTTACTCTTCTTTCCTTCCATCCCTTTCTCTCCTTTTCATTAATAACGTAACAGGAATTCATTCTTTAGAACCTTTTAATCCTGTTTTTTTTTTTTTCTCTTCTCAATATTTCTACATATCGTAGCTTTTTCTTTCACTTACCTTTTTTAATCACTGGTTTATTTTTATCTTATTATCTTCTTATTAGATATGCCTCCACTCCTTGTTGAGCTTCTCACCATTGCGCTCAAAAGGGTACTAATAGTGGGAACCTCCTGATGTCTACGTCAGAGGCCCAGAGATCCAGAAATATTTTGTTAATTACCCTCGTGATAAAACTATATTTTGCAAAAATTAGATAAAATAAATAACCCTGAAGATGATATTGGGATAATATCGAAATTACTTGAGAAAGATGGACATAAAAATCAATAAATATAACCATGGTAGCTTTCTTGCTGTCAAATATTTTACTTTCTTTTTATGTATCGCTTAACTAGACTGACACAAGATAATTCCTTGCTTTATATATATATCGAAATATTTCTCTTTGCCACCATGCTTTCTCGCCGTACAGTTAATTTTTGTCTTTTTCTCTTAGAATTTTACTAATTTCTCTTTATATTTTAAATTTATTCGCGTATCTTTTTTCCCCTTTATTGTCTATATTTCTTTCTTTACTCTTTCTTTATCTTCTTTCCACTCCTTGCAGCCATCTGTCCGCACCTCCTCCCGCACACGTTATTATTCGCCTCTCTTCTTTTTCTTCTTCTCTCTCTTTCTCTTTCTCTCTCACTCGTTACCTTTCCAACTTCTTCGATTCGTCATCCTCATCCTACGGCTCTTCGTCTTTTGTTTACAACATCGTCACGCTTGCCTTCAGAATTTTCCCTCCTTTTTTTATCGGCACCTGACCAGCTTTTCACAATTTTTTCCTCCCTCCGCCTTGTTTAAAAGATTCTTTTCATCCAACACCCGTTTGTCATTCACCGATTTTACCCAGAGACCATTATTCTCCTCCAAGAGGACGACGTTCTGCCGCCCGTTTCCACTCCGATTTCCTTATTTTCTTCATTTTATTTACTCCTGGCTTCCCCGTATTTTTCCATATCTATTCTTTAATCTACCCACTATTTATTTATTTATTTATTCACTTATTTATTTATTCATACATTCGGCTTCTTTCGAGTTGCTTCTTTCTCTCTAACTCTTCCATTCAAGTCTAAAACATCCTTTTTTTTTTTTACTTCCTTCTCTTCGGCCTTGATTTTTTACATTTTCCCATTCTCCCTTTCTATCTAATTTACTTTTCTATCTTTTCCTTTATTTCTGTCGTTCATTCTTTCCTTCTTATTTTTTTTCCATCAGTTATTTACTTTTTTTTTTCTATTTTCCTATTCGGTCATTTCTTTCCTTCTCTCACGTTCATTTCCACTTTTCTTTCTTTTTCAGTCAAGAATGTCTCTCTTTTTTCTGGTCTTTCTTTTCTCATTTCTTTTTTTTTATCTTTCTTCTTTCTTTCTTTTTATATTTTATTCCCCTTCTTTTATTTTTTTATGTCTTTCATTTTTTCTTCTTTTGCGTTTTTTTTTCCATTTCTATCTTTCTTCATTTATTCGTTTTTGTTCCTTTTACTTTGTGCTTTCTTTCAATGATTTTTTTCTTCTTCTATGTTGCTTCTTTCTTTCTTGATGTGTTCTCGTCTTTTTCCTTCTTTTTCTCGCACTTTATCTCTGTTTCTCTCACTACTTATTTCTTTTTTTTCTTTAACGTCTTTATTTTTCTTCTCACTTTCTTTCTTTTTCGCTTTCTACCTTATCTCTTGTTCTGCAGTCCCTCGACCTCTCATTTCTGATATTCGCAATTTCTTTTTCCATTGTTTTTGCCTTATTTACCCGGATCCTGTCAACTTTGTCTCCCCAGAGACTGGCGCGATCACCACAATCATTCAGTAGCAACAACAAACAAACCCTTCCCCGACAGCCTTCAATATTCTGGCGATTGCTTCGAACAGGAACATCGTCTCCCCATCCACCAGCCAAAATATGTCCATCACCCCCACCACCACCACCACTAATACCAAAAGCAGCAACAACAACAACAACAACAATAAACAGTGCCCAGAAGAAGCAACAATGAAAACGAAAGCGCCGACTGCCACGATGTGTTGGTCGATATTTCCTTTAATGGCAGCCTGTGATCTCCGGCCCTCATAAAACCGACCGGCCGAATGCTTCGTCTCACCGGCCACGATCAAGTTATTTGCCCGCCATTGCTTCGACCCGACCAACACATGCTCCATTATAACACCGCGGGAGACGGGCAGTGCGGCCGGGGATTTTGTTTACGGACACACACCGAGAAAACACCGGGAGTGAAACTGGGAGTGACGGTGACGGTGACGGTGTCTTAGGTCAGAGTGTTTGGATATATGTCTATGTGATTAAAAGACATATAGCTACAAACGCACAATATTATTAAATATGTATAAACAAGTGAAAAATGTATATGTATCCAATAATATATATATATATATATATATATATATATATATATATATATAGGGAGAGAGAAATAGAAACAGAAAAGGAAGAGTGATGTGTATCGAAACATTAGTAAGTTTTATTCAAATATTCAGAAACCTTTTTGTTAGACAATTTTAGAAGAAAAAGGATAGAAATAATTCCTAAAAATATGCAATTATACATATTTAATAAGGAAAGACGAATAATTTTGATATTTTGAAATTTATTCGTATCAGTGTCCACTCATTGACTAACTGCTTCTTATTTAGGGAAGTACATTGGAATAAATAAATGAAGCCCAATCACTAAATATATTATTATTAATATTACTATAGTAAACAACACTATTTTAATGGGTACACGTGTTTGATTATAATTCCCTAATTATTAATAAACAGCCAAATTAACGGCTAACGGCCTAGATCCCGGAAAATCATATTTACAAATTTACATCTCTGTATGAATTCGATTTAAATTCCTTTTTTTCTGGAACACCAAATTTTAGCCAGGCATGCTTCACTCTTAAGCTACCGAGATTTTGACATCAAGTCAAGATTGTGTTACATTTTTTACGAAATTTCCATCTCCCGTTGGAGCATTTTACTGCCTATATCTGGTGACTTATATTATCGTAATAATAATTTTATCAAAGATATAGTAGCAATTATTTAATTTTTAATCCAATAATATCGAATAATTAAAAAATAAACATTATTAATATATATATATATATATATATATATAAAGAGAGATTTAAATAAAATGGACGTCATTATTTTACCTTTAGGACTCTTTTGCCCAACACTTTTTTTCAAAAAGCTAATCGTTGGCGAAGCAATAAGGAACCGAAGGGTCCTAAAGGTAAAATAACGACGTCCATTTTACTAAATCTATTTTCTTTTCTGTGGGTACAAGTCTTTTTGTTTGTATATATATATATATATATATATATATATATATATATATATATATATATATATATATGTATGTGTGTGTGTGTGTGTGTGTGTGTGTGTGTGTGTGTGTGTGTGTGTGTGTGTGTGTGTGTGTTAAGGTAATTTATTTATGGGTAAAAAGTGCTGAATATCAGAGATTGTATGTAAATATAAAAGTGGACATTGACATTAAGACCAAGTGGTGACAGTCTGGGGTTCATGTTTTGTGCTCTTTATTTTTAAGCTTTATTTACCATCTCAGTCATTATCAAGAACTGTTTGTTCGTAATAAAGTAGACAAAATATTTATTGCAGCCATTAAGCAATGTTTTTACACGAATTAAATGACATTTTAATGCATTTTTCATTTTCTTACCAGTTCGGGTGCATTTCGTTACGATAGAAGACGTTAGAAGTTTGCTTAATTTTCTTTACATCTCGATGATTATTTATTACTTTTAAAACATTTTATATATTTTCCGTAAGTCTTAATTATCCATCTTATATTACCTCTGTAAATTTATTTGTAGGTAATCAATATTATTTTACGATGTCTGTGGTCTGTGTATGTGAGTGTGAGCATGTGTCTGTGCATGTGTGTGCGTGTACATAAGTGGTGGTCGGATGCAAGAAACAAGATATATAACTGCGTTCAAATCTTATTCTTCACCTAAACGTGAACGCCAATCCCATCTCAATACCAAAAAGCAGACCCACAGGAATAATGAGAATCGCTAAATCAAATTATCTCTTCATCTAATAGATCGATAGGTATAATTCTTGGTAGTCCATGGCACTTCTCGGAGCAAGGAACGTTATGTGGCACTGCTCATATACTCACTAAGCAGAAAGTGACAGAAGTAGTACTTTCTAACCTGATCTGTTAGAAGAGGCTGAGACATTTTTGTGCTACAAAATATTAGAAAAACTTTGATCATTTAATAAAGACATGCACGAATATATTCGATGTCAGATTTAATTTTACAAGGCAATGTTTACATAACAAAACTAGCTTGAAGTAAATGATTTGGATGAAATTTTCTGCTTATAGGAAAAAACATATCATACGAGTTTCAGTTCATAATGTCTGTTCTTATTGAACATATTGCTACTAAACTGTATGGGGGTCAATTTTTATTAAGCAAAATGCAACATAAATTTTTATAAATATAAATAAATGTATAAGATATAGGACATAAAAAACATATATTTGATTAACGTAACATCCCATGTCCTTGAGGAAATCATTAATTTACTACCATACTTGTTAATGTCGGCGCCTTGACATTCTATAATGGTAATCTATTCATTTTGTTCATTTTTATACTGTTTCTTTAATGCTAAATGCAACAGTCTTTAGGGTGTTTTTTTTTAGATCTCTTCTATACTTAAGCATGGTTTTTCACTTTCATAGACATCTTTTTTATGATGTAGTACATTTTTTCTAATGGATATCTGGAGAGACGGAGGTGCATTGCTTTATATTTTGATTCTTTGAAATCATTTTTTTTTTATATTTTAAATCTTCCTGTAACACAAAATAGACATCTTGTCCATCAATTCGCAATAATTCTCTGCATTTATCTTAACACTATTTTCATTTTCGACGAAACTATAATTTTGCTGCCTACAATACTAGAATAAAACTTTACTCCACCTCCCCTAGTGCTGTCTTCTAACTCGTGGTGACTCATATTTCTCTTTGTAATAATAACTTAAAGGTGGTAGTTTGGTTGTCTTTATACCTTTAGCCATTGTTGGCCAGATTCAGCGTTTTTTTTTCTGTTTATATTCGTAATATCAAGTTCTTAATTTTTTTTCTCTTGCTTGCCAATCTATTTACCGCGTTTCTTTTCCCTTTAATTGTTCTTAAATTCCTTTTTGTGTCATTTTTTAATATTTACAACGTTTTTGTATTCATTTTCTTTTGATTGGTTTGCAATCTCAGGACATTTTTTCGCAATTTCCGAAATTGTGTCCTCATTACACTGTAACATTATAATATTTTGTTTTTCTTAAGGTTACATATTTATTACCATCTATGCCAATCTTTATATATGTGACATTAAAAAATAAATATAAATGCGTTTATACTATATATATCATTATTTACAATATGATGAAAAACGCTCAAGTTGTATAACGATGAAAACACAATATTATAATTTTTATGGTGTATTTATCATATCAAGATGCAGAGAAAATTATAACAAAATTGGTTGTTTAATATGAATTTATTGTGACGGCACTGATTTATACAATGAAATCTTCATATGGTATGTATACATCAGTACATACAGGTTTCAATGAATATACTATACTACACTAAATTTAGTAAAATTTTAAATCGCTTTTTATGGTTTTCATTTATAATTTTGATTTAGTTATCTTTGTTCAGACTCACGATAAGAGTTGAAAAAAATACCGAGGTTTAATCTCAGCAAATCTTCCTCTCTACAATCACAGAATTGACTGTTATATCCACTGTAAGTCCTGACTTTTGTCTGCTGATTTACTTTTTTTGTTTTTTTACAAAGTTCATCTGAGAAAGTTTGGAGATGAAACTAATCTTTATCTTTGCCTGAAAAAAAAAACGATTTTAAATAAAATGTTGTTAATTTAAGATTTATACAGTCATCGACATTTTTGTTGCAATAAATAGCATCAGCGTATTTATCTACCACAATATATTTATATCTATCAATCTGTATCAAATGTTGTTCAATATCTGTCAATCTCTAACTTTT